ATGAGAAGGGCATCAGCCAAAGAGCCTGGCCCAGGGGAGGAAGCTTGACCTAGAGTATGGTTTGGAAAGCATTCATTTGGGGTATGCCTTGGCGTGTTGGAGCCTAAGTGGTTGGAGGAGGGCATTCTTACAGGAGGGCTACCTGAGGAAGGTAAGGACTACATCAACACAATGAAGCAGCCCGGCCAGGGAGGCAGAACACCAGCAAGATGGGAGCACATCTGCCTAGTGGAGGTAGCGGGCATGGAGTGTCAGAGTTCCAGCTTAAGAGCCTGACCCAATGTGGAGAGCTAGTGCTGAGCAAGGGTTAAGAGGGCACCCATGAAAGGTGAGAGACAGCCAGCAAAGGATGCTAAAACCTGCCTCAGGTAAAGATGGTATCCACATGGAAGATGAAGAAACAACTGAGAAACTTCCAATCAGCAGACTAAAGATACATTATAATGTAAACACAGTGAATTTGATCTTTTTCCTATGAAGGACATTCTGAGATAATTAGCAAAAATTTAACAGGTTCTGAGGATTAGATGCTTAACCTTCTGATTTTATGTTAAATAATAATTACGTAAAAGAATGTTCTTGCTTTTAGGAATTATAACATTCAGGGATGATGGGGCATCATGTCAGAACTTACTCTCAAATGTTGCAGGAAAAACAACTGCTTGGTTAATGTCTTTATAACTTTTCTGTAAATTATTTTATTTTTAAATTTTAAAATGAGAAAAAATAAAGGACAAGATAAACAATGAAGAGAAAGTGAGATGAAAGAAGTAATTTAAGAGAAATATAAATGATAAGCAAAGTAGATCAAAAATTTATAGTCAAGTCTCTAAAGAAGAAAATCAAAGCAAGAAAACAGAATAAATAATAAACAGTATGAGAAAACTTTCCTGAAATATATAAAGATGCAAAAGTACATCTGAAAGTGCACACCACATACCTAAGAAATTAACTCAGAATGACCATAACAAAGACATATCTAGCAAAATTACTTGATTTAAAGAAAAAGGGAAAAAATCCTTTGAATGTCTAAAAAAAGCAAATGTCCTATAACAGAAAGGATATTATTAGATTGTCATCACCCTTTCAACACCAATACCTCATGCCAGAAGAAAATTAGATACATATTTAGGATGTCCAAAGAAAGCAAAAGTTTGTCAAGGATTTTATAGACAAGAAAAATGACTTTCAAATATAAAGCCCCTTTATAAACTAATATCAAAATGCCAGAAATATTATTTCCATGAGCCCTTCCTGAGGAATCTCACTTTTTAACGAGCTTTAGGTACTCAAAACACACCAATACAAGGAAATGTGATAAACCTTAAATATATAGGTACTTACAGAACTATGACTAAACAAGAGTTAAAGGAAAATAGTATGTAACCGCTTATATTCAGCCCTTTTTCCTCCTTGCTGCCAGGAAGCTCCCATTAATTCTGAAATTCACTTTAGCAATTATATAAGAATTAGGTTTTGCACATCTGTATTTGTATTTTCTTGATTTTCTACCCTTTTTTAATATTTCATTTGGAGACTTCTGGTCAAGACATCAAAACAGACAGTCCGCAGCGTCACTCTCTTCCACAAATCAACGAATTTACAACTATAAAAAAGAGCAACGATAGCCAAGCTAGGGCTACTAGAGCTCAAGAGAAGAGGAGGAGAAACCCATGGAGTTCATGAAGGTGAGAGAAGCTATGATGAGAGAAAGAAAAAAACCTCTCTGACCATTTCGAGCCCAGCCACTTCCAGGCTGGAACTGCTGAATGCACAGAGCAGGAGCTGGCAAAAGCCAACAGCTGTGCCCTTCGGATGAAATTGCTTGGAGGCGGCAGGGGAGAAGATGGCCTTGGTGGCCCCCAGGCCAGCAAGACCATGAATAGGGCTTCTGTGGACCCACACAGGAGTGAGGAGCCACAACTGAAAAAAAGAAGCCACTCAGAGGATGGCGAGTCATTGCAAGGGACCGGTGCATGGCCCGTCCCATGGGAAGTGTTTGCAGCATGGGCAGTGGGGGAGACTAGCTGTTGGGAAAATATAGGAAAATGGTCAGGGCCCCTCAGATGTTCAGAATCTTGCTGAGCATTTGATGTAAATAGGCACGTGCGCTCAGGTATTTCTTGGTTATCGTCTAGTGTATTGCGCATGTGCACCCAGGTGTCCTTGGTTATGGACAGTATAAAGGATGAGTGGCTCTGCTCCACAGTGCTCCCTGCCCCCCGGATGAGCCTGGGGGACCACAGGAAGGCCACCACTGCTGTTGGAGGCTGTTGCTGCAAGCTGTTGCTGCCAGTGCCCCTAGGACTTTCGATGAGGCCACCACCACCAACAGACCTGTAAGCTGCTGCTTGCCATTGCTGAGGACTGAGCTTGTGTCATCTGCCAACAGCTCCTGGGATCTTTCCCAATTACCTAGCATGGACCTGCATGTGAGGGCTCTGGGGACCCAGCCTGGCATGTGAGGGGTCTGGTGACTTAGTCTGTGCAATGGGTTTGAAGGGTCTGAGCCCTAGCTCTGACAATATAAATGGAAACTTAGTATAACTAAAATAATGAAACATTTTGGCTTTAGTTATGATTTGCCTTACTTTACACGGGCCCACTGAGAGAAGACTGGGGCGCAGCAAGGGCAGCTGATGTGCACTACAATCAGCATAGACCAGTCAGAAGAGACTGGTCAGGAATATAGAATTGCATGGGGTGCAGCTTGATGAAAAATCTCAGGCCCAGACCAGAGTTTCTACACAACCCAGGTACACTGGATTTCACTAGATCCAGAAGTACCCATAATGTTATAATTAAAACCTAAGCTACACAAAAAGCCTTCCTCATGGAATCAGCAGCAAAGCAGAAATTTAGCTCAACCACATAGCTCAAGTACTGATCCCCACAGAAAGTTCACCCACTTTAGAAGTAAGTAAAGGACAAAAAATTAGTTCCAGGGCAGAGTTTAAGTGGTGAGAACAGTAAATAATCCAACAGAGAACTGAAAGAAAAAAAGTACCTGCAACCAGAGACAAAGTTTGATATTAACTAGTAAAGGTCTCATTTCAACAAAGAATACATATAACACCTAGAAGGACTGGAAGTCCCCTGGGCTACAAAGCCAGAGAGGGGGAAGGGACAGGGGCCTCAGCAACACCCCCCAACACCCACAACCAGTCCCGAGGTTGGGGGCCGAAGGCCTCAGTCACACACCCCTGACATGTGCAACCACCCCAGCGACAACCACCGATCCGCCTCAGGAAGCGCCCCAGGCTCTCCCAAGCTGGGGTGATGGGGGGCCAAGGGCCTTGGCCACAACCCCCAACACCTGCGGCCAGCCCGGTGACAACCACCAAGCCACAGCAAGAAGGGCCCTGGGTTCCCAAGCTGGGGTGGTGGGGGCAAGCGCTTTTGCTACACCCCCCTGACATCTACACCAAGCCCGGCAATGAACAAACCACCGCTGGAAGTCCCCCAGTCTCCCCTGTGGGAATGAGGGGGTGCTACAGGCCTCAATCCCTCTCCTCCTCCTTCCTCCTTTTCCCACCACATTTCAGTCCCTTTTCCCCTCTCTCCCTCCCTCCCAACTGCTCCACAACAACATCCTAGAATGTAAAAAAAATAAATTACATTTTCTTTAAAAAATAAAATTTAAAAAAAAAATTCATTTCTTTGTCACTCTATTTAATATCATTCTATCAATGACTGAAAAGCCACTTCACATATTTTATAAAACAAGGCAAATTAATAGGAAAGGAAGGCATGCAGAATATTAATCCCAAAATGTAAATTATAGAACCATTCCTATGCATGGTCAACACATGGCAGAACCAGGACTCAAACCCAACAAAAAGACTCGTGAGAGAAAAAGTGGCTGTACAAGCACAAATGCATTTCTAGAGCTAGTAAAACCAATAAAATGATACAGACAAAAGATGGTAGCAAGTAGAGTCACCTTGACTAAAAATAGCAGCACTATTGTTATTCAATATTATTACGATTATTAAAATCACTGAGAACAGAAAGATCTTTTAATAAGGATAAATTCAAACTCAATATACAACATATATATTCATATATACATAAAAGCAAAAACAGAAATGTCAATGCAAAAACACAAAGGCAAAAGGAGGAATATTTTTAATGTTTAGTACTTCTTTATGGTAACGCAATCACCACATTAATTATTTAAACACTAAGCAATTTTTAAAAAAACAAAACTAAAAAAACAGCACTTCCACACAAGACATGTACTCCTTCAGAATTATAAACCTTTGACTTAAAATGTATAATTATCTTTCAGCTCCAAATAGTTTGGGATTTCACAATTTCCAACGTGACTTAAACAAAATCTTTATATACTTCTATTTTCCTAGCCAGGTACACTGCAAATTGAAAACTAATTCGTATATGTGAATGCTCTATCTTGCCTAAATAAGTCTTTGTTTTGAAAGTTTAAAAACACCAGGAAGAATATGACATCATATTAAATAATTGGTTTTGCTAAATTAGGACATTCATTACTATACCCACTTCCTTACTACCTATTGCAAAGGATAAGCAAAAGTAGAAGCTAAAATTGGATTTCAGCCACAAGTAACATTTTATACTAGCTTCCTTGTAAATCTCTAATAATTCTTTCCAAATTACTTTCAATATTAACAAGAAGTTATCTCATATGTTCATAATATAACATATATAATTCAAAATTTGAAATTTCAAATAGCACATTAGGCAATACAGTTTTATAAGATTTATTATTTCAGAATTGTTAACAAAAGGCATGCCATCAACATTAGAAAAATAAAAAAGAATAAGAAAGTTAATGGGGGGGGGGCAATAGTTGAGCAAAAGCACCTTTGAAACAAAAAGAAACATATAATAACGATTGAGTTCCAAAAAACAGAGATGACTCTTAAGAAATAGTGAAGAAAGATTTTCATTGGATATTAGATTTCACATTTTACATCTAAAACTTTCCACAGAATCTATAATAAGATAGTTAGGATTACCTTATATCCAGGTCCTAACTGATGAATTGCAAATATCTGTGCTGGGTTGAGTGCTTCACTGAACACATACACGGCACCGAGTTGACCACAGAATACCCTATTTGCATCAGCAGTTTCTGAAGATCCGAGAAAGCACTTGTCATAGCTCTATTTTTAAGAAGTCATAAAAAAACCAAACATATTACTTTTAATGACAAACTATTTAAGGACATCTGCCTTCATTATCATGAATATCTTAAAGCACTTATGCACTGTAACAAATGACACTATATGACTTATAACAAACACTAATAACAAAGAAAGCATCAATTAAAACGTTATTGAATATATAAATAATAAAAGCGTTGCTGAAGTATTTCTCCTATGTTTTCTTTAATAAGTTTTATTGTTTCAGAGTGTATATTTAAATCTTTAATCCAATGGCGTCATCCACACCACCCTCAGCCAGTGAGTGCACCCTCCATCCCTGTATAGGATCCGAACCCACAGCCTTGGCACTACCAGCGCCGCACTCTCCTGAGTGAGCCATGGGGCCAGCCCTCTACTTTAATTTTCTATTATGGAGCAATTCCTCTATCCCTCCACACTAAGTCAAAGACACAAAGAAAATCGTTCTTTCTCTTATATGAGTAGGCATTATACAGAATCAAATAAACAATGATCACTAAAATCTGCTGCCTAAAGCAGATGGTACAGTGCTCTCCATTTGGAGAATTCAGCATTTAAGCCAAGCTTAAGGAGACCCTTCCTGCTTGTACTTAAACCTCAACCATTCAGACCAGTGAAAGCCATCACTGCTCAGTTTCCTCCGTCAACCCCCACAGGCTATTCTACACATTCTCACTAATAAGCAAGACACTATAAATGTATGGAATCCCTTTGGTGCCTCAATAAAATAAAAAAATTGTGAATGGGGTACAAAGACAGAAAATCGTCCCCATTAAATAGTCAATCTTTAATTAAAAGTATAGAAACTTAAGAATTGACTGCATAAAGTATATATGTGTGTGTGTGTGTGTATATGTGTATGTGTGTGTTATTCTTCAGGCTTCTCCATTTCTTGGAGCACTATTACAAATAACTCAAAAATCTAAGTCTTTTCATTTCAATATACTGTCTTATCAGCTAATAACAGTTAAAAAAATCACTGGAGTTTCTTCCACCCTGTAACAAAAAGACTTTACCCTCTAGAGGTACATAAGAAACAAAATTTCGTCTGTGTATACTAACTCTGATAAAATCATTTTCTTAAATATTTATTAACTGTTGCTCAACTATGAGTTTCCAGGGAAGAAAAAGCAATTTTTCCTATAAAGGAACAGATGGGAAATACTTTAAGTTTTACAAGCCACACATGGTTTCTGTCACATAGTCTTCTTTGATTTTGTCTTAAAAAAAAATCTTTAAAAATATAAAAACCAAAATTCTTAGCTCCCAGGTCATACTAAACCAAAACACATTGAGGATCAGATTTGGCCTATAGGGTATAATCTGCCAACCCCTGATTTAGGGGACAAACTATGGACTATTTAAGAGAATACAAGACAGGACAAAAGCCAATCCTTGCCCTTCGGAAGATTAAAGTCTAGACAAATGCAGACAAAATTAAGAAGTGAATTTTGTTAAAAAGAGGCAGGTTATTATAAAACCAGGTATGCTAAGAAGTTTGTGTATTATCGGGCTTGGAGGTACTTTTGGGATTAAAACACATCTTTTACTTTGGCTCTAACAGGCCAGAGTGGAGACAAGGGAGAGCCCAAAGTAGAGAAATAATAAGAGCCCTTGAGGTTTTAACTCTAGGTGTCCTCTAACTAGAACCCAGCTGTGTCACCTCTTCCACTGCTAACATGCTGGTAGAAACTAATATCTCTTTGTTATTGCTGTAATAAGTCATCAAAGTTATTTCCCTGCCTCTGGAGTCATTTCCCTTTAGAATATTCTCTGTTCTGTGGGAAGACTGATGATTTTTAAATACAAGCAGACATCACTTACCTGTTCAAAACCTTCTAAAGATTTTGAAGCTGGGTAAGATGGGAAAGCCCAGGCACCCAGGCATTGTTTCCTTATGAGGCCCTACCTGCCTCACCTTATCTCTTAACCCTATTTTCCCTCTGCTCTGGACAAATTAGCTGCCTTGTTCCTTGAACTTTCCAATTCTGCCTCAAAGTCTTTGCAATCACTGTTCCCAGTAAATGGGATATGTCCCCTAAATATATCCACATGGCTTGCTTCCTCTTCTCATTAAAATCATCTTTGGACAATTTGGCTTCTCCCTTTCCTACGCCTATACTTTCTACACTTGTTCCCCACTTTATTTTCCCATGGCATTTATCACTATATAATTAATAATAATGACTATATGTTATACTTATTCATTCTGTTTAAGGTCTTCTTTCTGCACCCAAATAAGGGGTTAAACACATTTTTTAATGCTTGAGATTCTGGAAAGAATAGAATAGTGCATTGTTTTTTGACCTAAAATACTTAAAAATTAAGCCAAGTAATTTTCCTTTTTTTGCATCACCAATCATGTCTTTTAGCAATTTTATTTTATTAAATTTCAGACTTAAAGACTCACTTAATAAAAAGTGTAAACTTTCAAAGTAAAATTCATAAGTTTCTACCAAACTATTTTATTATTCAATTCGTGTTATAGTTATAGATCATACTCTCAAATACAGCAAAACACAGATTAAAAAATAAAAATCTTACATCATTTGTGTTAACATGCCAAGCCATATCACCATAGGATACCAGTTGTCCATTAACGTAACACCGAATTTCACTGTTCCTCCATCGATTGTAAATGTGGACAATGCTGATCATGTACCACTTAAATAAAAAAATTAAGGATATCAATATGTAATGTATTACTGGCAAAAATGCAATCATAACATTCGTAAAACCTTATGATAAAATACTCTAGGGACTATTAATGACCATGCACTACTACTTTCTCAAGTTCCCCTCTCCCATTTCTATTTCACAGATGAAAGAAATGGCTCATAAAGAATAAATCTGTATGTGAAATGATGGTAATTGTCTTTCAGGATTGACCTGAAATGAAGAGCACACCCATTGCCGATCACCTGATTAAAAAAAAAAAAAAAGAATAAGAATAACTGTAGACAGAGCTAGTGCCCCTTGAATCCCAGACTGATACTCCTTCCATTATACCAAGATCCAAAACCATGGAAGTACAATTATATTGTGTTCATTCATTTAATAACATTTACATTGTGTCAGGCACTACAGATATCCAAGGCTAACCAGACAGATCATAGGTCCAGTTCTCCTGGAATTTATGATCTAGTAAAAGGGACATACATAAGATAATTAAACACATATAGAATCACGAATCATGATGACTACAGTGGGAAAAAAAGAACAGCATAAGCTGAAAAAGAACAACAGGATTCTGCTTTGGATTGCATGGTCAGAAAAGACTTGTCAAAGGAACAACATTTATAATATTTATTATAAGATTTAGGTGGTTTCAATTATACAATTTAGATTTATTAAATACAGCAACAGTTATATACTTTTAACTTAATAATGTGTGAATATTCATCAAGCATCCAGAATGAGTTCATATTGAGTTCCCACTTTACACTTACTGATATCAACAAAAAAGCATTTTAAGTGTCTATTTTGATAAGAGATGATTTAAGTTACATAACAATTTGTGGATCCAACCATTCATCTCCTAAGAATTAATAGCCAAAAGCAGAGAATACAGAATATTTTTTCTAAAATATAGAAAAATACAAATGATTTGAATAAGTGTGCCATGAGAAGTTAAAGGGGGAAAATTAGACTAGTTCCTCCCCCTCAAAAAATATGTAAAATACAAGTTTTGTTCTACAGATTATTTAAATGCACTACTCAATTATTTCATATATACTAAGAGAAATATAAAGCTACAACAGTAATTCTCAATCACTACAATATTAGTTATTTCAAGGTACTAAAATGTTAGTTTTTTCAAGGTACTGAAATACTTGAACAAAATTCAACTTCATTTCACTTTAGAAAATCAATATAGTACACAGAATAACTCAGAGAAGACAGCAATACAAAACAACAGAGTTCCTGAAATAGAAAAAAAGCCAGGTCAAACAATTTAAATGCCTAAAACACATCCTTTTTTAGTTTGTTTCATTCTAGGTAATCTTTAATTTATCGCAAACTGAGTCTTTCACTTAATCAGAAAGCAACGTATGTTAGCCCTGACTAAAGTCAGAAGAAGAAAATCTTTAGTCATTTTACACTGTTTCTAAATATTACAAATTACCAAGAAAACGCTATAAAAACTGATCTTCAAATAAATTTTTAAAAAATCTTATAGAATTTCACATGTATAAGAATTATAATTTGCAAATGTTACCTTGACTGAGTTTGAAAATATTCAATCAGAATGTAATCTAGATAATACAGGAGACACAACCTTTATATTTAGGAGTAAATTGTTTAGAAAATTAAAATTTCTAAAAAGAATAGACACAAATAAATGCCTATAGTTTACATCTATTTTCACAACGTCAAACAGCTGGTAAATGGTGCAAATAGGATAGCAAAAGTTTTAATATAAAAATTTCCTTATGAAAGGCCTATAAACTCCTAGTTCCTAGTTAAGAAGGACAATAACAACTTAGCTAGGATATCTAGAAAATTAAAGAAAGGAAAAAATAAGAGAGTGAGTTAACCTTAAACGAAAAAGAGTAAAATCAAATACTTATGATTTTCAAGGTTTATAAAAAATATATACAGAAGGCTTTTTGAATCCACATCATTTCTTGGCCCTGCTTTTACTAACACCCCTTAGCGTCATTGTACATTAAGACCTATTACAAATGAGAATATGTTTTCATAAGAAAACAGCAAAAGGACAAAAAAGAAAAAGTGATAACAAATGGGTTAAATTGCTTTTTATTGGTTAATGACAATTTCACTTGGTTATTCACTTCTCTCTAATTTAAACTCTTTAAACCATTTCCTAAAATTGTCTAATAAGAAAAATCACTTACTTATACTTACTTATACTCTTTAAACCACCATTTCCTAAAATTGTCTGATAAGAGAAATCACTACATTTGTTAAAAACACATATACCTAACATGAAAATAGTAATTCCAAGAATCTGTATTTCTAACAAGTTTCACTGAAATTCAAATAATTCAGCACATTTGGCAAATTCTACATGGATCTCACCCCAATTCTAACAAATCAGAATTTCTGGAGGAGAGGTAATGGAATTCGTATAAAAATAATTGGGATTTGTAACAAAAAAAGAACATATTCTAATAAACAAATGTATTTATTCAGAATCACTGCTTTTAAACTATTTTCAAAGTATATATTAATGGATGGTTACTAAATTGATATTCTTTAATAGAAACAATTATTTTTACCTCATAAATATAAAGAAAATACCATCCAAAATAATATTTTCTTCAATACGTGGTAAAACACATGTAGGATCACATAAGCAAACACGAAAACAAACAAAAAAGAAAGATAAAAAAATAGAAAGACATTTCCCCCCTCTACATGTGGCCTCATCATCTCTGTTATGGTTATACCATTAATCACAAAGGGTAAGGCAATATTCCACTGGGTAGGAGGTAGCCCGCCCTGAAAAAAGTTGACAATCTCACTGTCATATATCCAAGAAAGACCCTTGAACCTGAAAGGGGGACCAGGCCTTAAACATGTGGGAATGGAAACTCCTAAATCTCTGTCCTTCTATTCTTGAGTCTGGGCTTTCAGATGGTTGGTTACTCTGACACAAAGATAGAATCTGTTAAACAGGCAGGAACATTTCTCTAGAAAACTTCAACTTATGATGAATGAATTATACCTTATAAATCTCATTATACAGTTGCACATATCTGTGCATTTTCTCTTATTATCTTTTAGCTTTAGAGCAGTTTTTAAAAATACGGTTCAACCTAATCTCAACTATTCTTTGCGATATTAAGTAAAACAAACAGTAGAGCAACATCCTTCTCCTTGAAGCCAGCCTTATTGAAGCAGCAGAAATTAGGAAAACTTTCAATCTCAGGAAACAAAAATCAGAACTACTAGGACTAGGTGAATATTCTTTAACCACACCTCTCTGCATTATCAAATCTGGAGGTTTAAAATTTAACGTTTATACCACACACACACACAGAGTCTGAAGTCTGAATCTCCAGTCTAGGTCTAAAAACTGATTCGAACTAATCCAAATAAGGTTAGAGGAAGAAGGTGGAAGAAGGACAAGATGACAAGGGAGAGGATGGAGAAAGAGAAGGGGAGAGGAAGAAGTAAGATGAAAAGGATAGGCAAAAGAGGAGAAGGAATTAAAGAAAGAAGAAAAATGATATGGGGTAGGAGGGAGAAGAAGGAAAAGAAGAAAAGAAAAATATAATTATATAACATTTCTTCAAATATTCTTTAAATACAATTCTTCAGAATGGTAATTAAAGTAACATAAAACTCCTGTAATAAAAGTTTGCCTTTCATAGATATATAAATTATTTGACAATAAAAATTTTTTAAAAGCTTCCCTTTGAAACATCTTTGAATTAATAATGTAATTGTTAAAACAATTTAATATTCTTCTAATAGATGTGAAAAAATTATAAAAAGACACTGTACAAATTCTATATAATATACACCAAACTTACATATTATATGTAAATTATTAAGGATAATCATATGTAATTATATTATGAATAAATTATATGTAATATATACCAAAATTTTAGGATCAGAATAAAGATATAAAAGAATATATCAGCTGTTGGTATTCTAAGTAACTGTGTTTTCCATTAAACCTGTGTAAAACACTTTCTTCAAAAACATAAAATCCCTTTTAATGGTCATGGATAAGGTTCTAGTTCTCTATGTATAATACTGAAAATTAACTTATTTTTACAGTATACGTTATTGTGTTGAAGCAAAAACAAAACAAAAGGCTAGTCGCTTTAGATTTTAAGTGGGTACCACATAGCAACAACCTAAATTATTTGGTTTTTACTGCCCCTAACTACCTTTATCCTTGGCAAGTGGAAAAGATTCTTGGCATCCTTATCTATCAAAGATGCACTGACCACATGGCCCATACCTTCTTTCACTTTATCATTAGTAATACCCATATAAGTTAACTGTTCAGGTAAATGTAACTTACTCCTTTAGAAACCAAAAAGATTTTTTGTTGTTGTTAAAGTCATATTTTATCCATTTATCTAACATATCTTAGTGACAATCTACCAAGTTCAACACCTCTATCAGGCACTTGAGGGAATACAAAGATGAACCCAACACAGAACTTAGTCTCAATAGTCACTAAACAATACACATATAAATGAATAATAAAAGAAATAATTACCATAAGAAATACTGAAATAAAATGCTCTGAGAGAGATGATATTTCAGAATAGGAAAAATCAGGGAGCGGTTTCATGGAAATATTGTTATATAAAATGGAACATAACACTGTGTTGGAATTTAAAGACCTGGAGCTGTGGGTAAAGGGACAAGTAAATGTAGTTCATGCCACATACTAAAGATTGGAAAAGGAAACTATAAAAAAGTGAAACAAAACATCCAAATCATGAAAGATAAGGCTAAAAAATTTAATTTAATCTGTAGCTAGTGTGAAGCAAATAATTGGTTTGAGTGGTGGAATAGTATGATTAGGAAGATAAATCAGATATTACTATATAAAACAGTTTGAAAGAGCAAGAGACAAATGATATAAGATGACGAGAGAGTGATATGAAGAATTTAGGCAGCAGGTAAAGAATTTTTAAAAGAAGACGTATTTCAGAGATACTATAGGACTTGAAAACTGAACTGAACTGACATGATCAAAATGAGGGTGAAAAACAAAGTTGAGTCAACTCTCAATTATTAGGAAAACGACAGACCTCTTAATCAAAACAGGGACTTAAGAACATGAGCAGATACGGGACTGAGATAGTATATCTGATGTTACATATCCTGAGGTCCAGGGGCCAGAAAGAGATCCAGATGGCAACATCTCACAGGTAGACAAATGGAAGATAAGAATAAGAGTGGAAGGCTACCATGAAACTGAAAAATTCCCAGTAAAATATAAGCTCCTCAAAAGCAGAGATGTTGCCCGTTTTGTTCATTGTCATATCCCCAGTACTGACAACAGTGTCTGGTACTGATAGAGTTTGGATGTGTTGTGCCCCCAAAGCTCATGTCAAAATCTGATCCCCAACTTGGCAATGTTGGGAGCAGTTTGGGTTATGCATGTGTATCCCTGATGAATAGATTAATGCCCTGTGGAGGGTAGTGACTGACTTCTCACTCTATTAGTTCCCACGAGAGCAGGTTGTTTAAAGGACCCTGGCACTTCTCTCTTGCTTCCTCTTGCCATGTGATCTGCTTGTAACCACAGGCTGGCCTGCCATTTTCCATCATGAGTAGAAGCAGCCTGAGGCCCATGCCAGATGCAGCAGTCCCAGAACTGTAAGCAAAATAAGTCTCTATTCTTTATAAATTACCCAGTTTCAGGTATTGTTATAAGCAACAGAAATGGACAAATACAGATACTCAGTAAACTTTATTGAAAGAATGCCATAGAACAGATCAGACTGAGAGAGTCAAAGAGCACAAGAGAGACACACTTCAAGGGGTCAAAAAACTGATTTCATAGAAGACAAAAATTACACATAAAGTAAAAAGAAAATGCAGACAAGAATAAGAGAAAAACCTTAAGAGTCATGGGAAAACAAGTGGGAGAATATTACAGAAATCATAATAGGTGAGTTTTAAGACAATGGGAATGGTAAATTATGTCATTCTCAAAAATTTGTTTACTTTTACCTACCTTACGTGGTTGAAAATCATATTTCACACAGTGCTGAAAACCTTTTCCTTTGGACTTGAGTGATGTGACTATTAAACAGTTGCCAACGAAATGAGCAGAGTAACCAACTCCTTTGCTAGTACGAAAACTGTAAAGAAAACTGAGAATAGTATAACATCCTCTAATAAAAAAAACTATATATCTAATGCCTGTTAAACATTTTTGTAAAAAATAAAACTTATTTCCCTGAAGAATAAAAGGGGTTTAACATGTATCAAATAAAAATTAAACTAAAACATAAAAGGTTAAGAATAAAAAAACTGGGAAACAAAAGACTGTAGAAGCTTTGTAAATTTCAACTTAAAATATTACAAATAAATAAAAACAAAGTAATGGCTAACAAAAGCCAGCCAAATAGACTTCATTTACCTTTGAGGACCATCTGTAATCAGCAGATACAGAACTCATTTACACACAGTTCATATTTTCAAAAACAACTTGTTCTCTAACTCTGCTACACCTTCGACAACAGCTTACAAATTTTTAAAAACTTGATCAGAGCTATTCTGATGAATAATGCAGTTGACCAAACAAAGGAGTACCTTTTTAGTTAAAAAAAGAAAAAGATAGGACTATGAAAAATAGTTATTTTTCTTCTAGAGGAGCACTCCTTCCTAGCTGTGAATTCAATCACAATGTTGAAAAATTTTTAAATGCTTTAAAAAAATGAAGGCATCACTGAAATAAATGTATGCTCTCCCAAAATGACCATTCAGAAATCCAACCCCATCTATGTTTGGAAGTCCAGAAGCTTGTTTAAAACTCCCTCTCATTACTATCCATATAAGATATTTTGTAATAGAACTTATATTTCTCTGTGCTCACATTTCTGAGCCAGCCATTGTACAATGTGCTTAAAATATTATTCTCTCATTAAATCCTATGAGGTAGTTACTATTACTATTCTCTATTTTATTTTTAAAGACACTAAAGCACAGGATGAATACTAAATGGTGAAGCCAGGACTTGAACTCTAAGCAATCTTACTTCAGGGCATTGCAAGTATTAAATGAGTTGTTACATGCAAGCATTTACAATGCCCAGCATATAGTAATCAATGAATGTTTGATGTTCTTAATAAGTATGCTTTATTACACATGACTGGCATAATAAAATTATCAAGCTCTCAGTCCTTACAGATCAAGCCGCTGTTGGGTTGATCAAACCATTCTGCTAGTTGTCCATCAAATTGTTAATTTTATCTGATTATAATTTTTACATAGTTCTTATCAATATTTTAAAGCATATGTCAATTATGCTCACAAAGCAAAGTAAGTGAAAAAGCAAAGTGAGTGAATGAATTTGATGGAAGTTTGGTTGTTTTCTCTCCTTGACTGGGGACCATAAATCCTCTCTAAAAACCCCACAATTGATCCGCACTGAAACGGACTGGATGGTAACCTTTGACTCTTAAACTGTAATTGAAAAAATAACAATAAGAGTGAGACAGGTCACCTAGAAACAACAGCAAAATTAATTAATTCATAGAACTGTCTGTATAGTTTTAATATATATATATATTTTTTTTTCTATCTAATATGTTACATTGATACTATATTTTTACAGAATTGACATACTTAAAGACAAAAGTCCTGAAATGAAACATATTACTTACCAATAAAGATAAGGTTTATCCTTATCAACATTAATGTTATTTAATGGATCCATACGAAACCAAGTGTTTAGGGTGAAGCCATTCTGGTAAGGCCACTTTGCAATAGGAGGCAAAGCAATTGCCTACAATGTAATGAAAAAAGATACAAAAGTATCAGTTAAAACAAATGTGTTAGTAACTAAAGAAAAACATAGCTCTTACAGACTAAAAAACAATCAAGTTATAAATATCAGAAACTCATGAACAAATATATAAAATAGAAACTATTATCTTATTAAAATAACCTATACATATTATTTATTGACTATAGAAGAATTATGTTTTCAAATACTCAGTGTATTAAGTTTTACCTCTAGGTTACATAGTGGGTTATGGACCCCAAGAAGCTCCCCCTCTAGTTTCACCAATACATAGTCCGTTATACATATGTGTCAGATTGTTCAGTTTTCTTTGGTTTATGCTAGGTGTTCAGTAATAATTCATTTGATTAAAGGAGGTTGGATGTTTAAAGCCAAAAAACTGTACTAGACAATGTTAATGAAAGCAAGAATGTTAATGGATTAAGAAATAATGTTCATAATGCTTATTACACTGAAACAAAGGGGAAAGCATGAGATTTATTATTCAGAAACTTGTTCCCCAAATCTTTCATATGACCTTTCTCAAATATAACACATAGCTTTTATATCAAAACTCTGCTGCATACAGAGCAAAGTTTAAATTTCTTCAGGTCACACACACACTATAGCTCCAAAAACCCTTATAATTTTGTTCTATTTTGCTACTTTACCCCACCATCCAAAGTATGCCTGAATATAGCAGCTGTTTCACCTGTTCTTTTACAGCTCCTTTTTTTGTACACGATTTTGCTCCTGTCCAAAACATTTCTCCTTCCAGCAAAATCCCAATTATCTCTCAGTACCAGGCTAATATATTCCTCATCTATGAAACTTTCCTGGACTTCACTCCAGCTTAGTTTCTCCTTTCATTGCTTCCCACAGTTCTAGTACCTATATCTACGGCATCATTTGTAACTCTTATTTTAACAAGCTGTTTTTGCATCTATCTACCCATTAGAGTTCTTCAAGGTAAGGAATATAATCTACGTTACCAGCACTGTGACTTATTATATACGAAACATTCAATATGGGGTCAATAAATAATCTCAAAGTGGCCAAAGATTTATAAGAGCTTACTGTTAAAAAAAAAAAAAATACACACACACGCTTAATTTCAAATGAACAATCAAAAACTAAAAATGAATAAAAATTTCCCATACAGTGCCCTTTCAGATTTTAATGTTTAAGTAGGTAGTTCAGGCAATTTAATTGTCAAACAATATAGCTTTTCTTCACTTTTTTTTTTTTTCCTTTTTGTCTTTTCTCGTGTCCGGCAACAGATCGCAACCCTCAGTGTCGCGCCCGTACCGGACCGGGACCGGCAACGGGACCGCAACCCTCGGTGCTGCGCCCACACCTCGCTCAGCCAGTGAGCGGGAACCGGTCTGTATGTGGGATCCGAACCCTCGGCGGGAGCGCCACCGCGCTCCCAAGCGGCACACTGTAGCAGTGCGCCACCGGGCCGGCCCTTTTCTTCACTTTTTAAAGGGAGAAATACTTTTACCTTATTTATTGTTTTGTTTGTTAATAAAATGCATTTCTTGCCACATTTACCACTGGTTAACACCTTGATAAGTTTCTCTAAAGTAGAATGCACTTAATATAACTGCCTCAAGACACCAAGGTGAAATATTAATTGAGGGCATTGAATGGTAAAATAAATCTATGAAATTATGTAAATTACCTAACAAATGTGTTAATTTCTTCTTAGTGCCTATGAAACACACTGGCAAAATTTATGATTTTCAACGTGTTGCCAAGACCAGCACAACCAGAAGCACTTTCACATCAACAACAGTGGCTTGTCTCAGCACTATCATCGGGTTGTTAAAATGCATTCCCTTCTATCCCCATTACTCCACATACCCATGTACTCCTTTATCCCCAAGCAATTGCTTCAGCACTTCCTGTATCATCAGACTGATCATCCAGGTTTACAAGGCCCGAAATTAGAACTCAAACAATGCATTAAATTGAGAGATAGAACAAAGAATTTGAGACAGGCTGCCCTTCAAGTTTCCAGACCTATTCTTCAACCAAGAAAATGATAAACAGGCCAAGAGATCATTTATTATCCTGATGGTAGGATTGAGAGGGCCCTAAATCACATACAGTTGCAAACAACAGTAAACCAAGATACAACAGAAATCCGGGAATTATGAAAGAAAATTCTAAGCCTGGGTGAAAATGAAAAAATAAAAGTCTAGTCTTGCTGCAACTAGCACCAAACTCCTGAGAGGCTCTTAAGAACAGCATTTGCCTCCGTTTCATTGTGGACTTTGAACCATCCTGTAAATAAATAAAGACCTTCATTATGACCAATCTCTTTATCAAGATGGTTACCTTCATTCAAGGACATTCTCTTAAATTTAGAGTATAACAGCTAGTATAAATGTTTTAGCTATACAGTAGTCCCCTGTCCCCCACTTAATCAGCAGTTTAGCTTTCCAGTTTCAGTTACCTGCAGTCAACTGCAGTCCAAAAATAGGTGAGTATAGTACAAGATATTTTGAGAGAAAGAAAGAGATCACATTCATGTAACTTTTATTGCAGTATCCACAGTTGGTTGAATCCGTGGATGTGAAATCCACGAATACAGAGGATAAACTATAAACACAGGGTTTGGTACTATCCACGGTTACAGGCACTCAGTGGGGGTCTTGGAACATTTTCCTCACAGATAAGGGTAGACTACTATTTTAGATACTCCGAGCTATTATTCCAACTGAAACCTCCCATTTCTGGAGGGGTATCCCCTCAACCTCCTGATCCTAACTTAAAAGTGTACATTGCATTCCTAGATTTTCTCAACTTTTTTTTTTTTTTTTTTTTTGCTGTATGTGGGATCCGAACCCTCGGCGGGAGCACCGCCACACTTCCCAAGCAGCGCACTATAGCAGTGCGCCACCGGGCCGGCCCTTTCTCAACTTTTTGACTAATGTATACATCCACTCTTAACCAATGCAAAAAAAAAGCTAACCTTGTATACAACCGCCTGATCTGGAACCCAGGCCCATTTAGTTCTAAACCATTCATGCCTAATCTCACCATCCATTTCCTACATTCCTTATATTTCCTTCTAATCCCATGGTGTTAATGACGTGCACTTTGCATGACCTCTTTTACTGTGGATTTAAATTACCTTCACATTTTCTTGATATTCCTTACATATTATTTTGGTCCCCACAATTGAGTGTTCCTCACTGTGTCCAGTGAGCCCACAAGACTCCATATTCTATATTCTTTATTGTTTCCTGTTCTAACTGATTCTAAAATCTATGTTGTTTTTATCATAACTTGCATAAGAAATGATTCTGGGGCCGGCCTGGTGGCGCACTGCTACAGTGCGCCACTTGGGAGCATGGAGGCGCTCCCACCGAGGGTTCGGATCCCACATACAGACCGGTTCCCGCTCACTGGCTGAGCGAGGTGTGGGCGCGACACTGAGGGTTGCGATCTGTTGCCGGACACAAGAAAAGACAAAAAGGAAAAAAAAAAAAAGAAATGATTCTGATGTTCAGATGGTGTGCTTCAGTAAATTATTATAGTGAATAGAAAAGTGAATTATTTCCTAAATTAACCCGATTCATGAAATAGATCCTGATTATGACAGGCAAATCTAAATAGTATATCCATAAAGGTAACAGAGCATATAAAATGTCATCTTACATTTGTCATTCACCTTTGCACGAATCACTCTGTAGACTTCAATTAACTCCCCAAATGAGAAAAAAGGTTACCAAATTGCTAAAAGAAGGCAGCATGGCTCATAGAGAGATATCTCCACAAAACAATATAATTCAGAAGGCCTGAATTAGAATTCATGGTTATTCTGGAGGGAAAGCAAAGAGTATCATAATTTTAGTAATCCAAAGGCACTGCTATCATTAGTGGTCCAAACAATATGTTGTCTCCTGTTATTAAGATGCCAGTGGTTCATGCTCATCCAGAAGTAGATTATCAAAAACATTGTACTGGTAAGGATTTTAGAATCATCTCTTATCTAAATATTCAGTAGTTCAATAGCAGAAGTAACATACCTGGAAATAAAAAGCCACTGTGTTAAGCACCGGATCTAATTTTAAAAATCAGGCAAATTTTGGTTTAAATTGTGACTCTACTTTATGACCTTTAGGAATGTTTTGTATTTCAAGTTCAGTTTCCTAAAGTGATCTAACAGTGAAAACATCATCTATCTTATATAGCTTGTATAATTCAAATGAAATAACAGTTATAAAAGTTTTAGTCCCTTCCCTACTTCCTCCTCTCCACAGTATATATTCTTGATCCGAACTACCCTTCTTGAAAATAAATGATGTAGGGAAAACCAGACAAGGGGGAGTAGAGAGTATAAGTTCATCAAAAGCCTCCAAACAAGAACAATTCAAACATACACTACTGCCTTGGGTTGAATGTCCCCCAAAACTTAATCCCCACTGTAACTGTTGAGGGTAGGAAATCCCTTATTAGGGTAATTGAAAGGTGAGGCCTTGAAGAGGTAATTAAGTTGATGGTTTAATGGTGGTCATGGGTGTGGCTCTGAGTGCTTTTAAAGGTGATTGCATGAGGAGCGATCTCTCCCTTCACTCCACCATTCTGCCATGTGAGACCCCTGCATCACTGTCATCACCAAGGCTCTCACCAGATATGTTCCACAGTCTTTAGACTTCCCAGTCACTGAAAGCAACAAATTTTGTTTTCTTACAAATTACCCAGTTCCAGGTATTTTGTTAGAAGCAACAGAAACAGACTAATACAACTACTAACGACATACAAATAAAATTATATATAGATATCTGTGTGTGTGTATATACACACACATAGTTTCACAAGTCATCTAAGGTTTCAACATTGATCAACAATTACTCGAAACCTGTGAATATTTTAGCCATTGATCAACAATTACTCGAAACCTGTGAATATTTTCTATCAATATATAATGTACTTTACATTCAGCTAACTTTTGTTAGTATTATAAATTTTTTTAGTTCTATAAGACAGCA